ATCTCAGTCTCATGAACTAACTTCTTTAGCCGCATCCGTCCAAGAGAGTGCGGTAGCCCTCACTCATTTAACACTACATCCGGGCAACGATGCAGCGGCTCTAACTCCTTTCTCACTGTACTTGAGCCATACAACGCGTCACTTCTGGGCAACGACATAGCATTAGTGTAATTACTTCGTTGATCCATGTTCATGAGATTCGACGGGTTTTTACGTTAGCTGTCGAGGGCCTAACACAACCCTCCTTTTTTGTCTGGGTTTGGGACCGGCTATACAATATAGGCGGAGTTTAGTTTGTGAACACTAAGCATAATTAATTAAATCATAAGGTTAATTAACTTTGTGGTCCAAGCAGAGGCAAGCATTAATGGGAAAGCATTAATGAAGTGGCCATGATCTTAGCATACAGCTTTATCAATTCTCTTCTGCGGGGTGCATAAATCTATGCTTTAATTATGACAACGCTAAAGAAGATAGTAGTAGATTCAATGAACATAAATTAATCAATCATGTTTTCCAAGATACTCTCGTACTAATAATCAGATATGCTTTTACTACGTTGTAGGTTTAATCATTAATGAAATGGCAAAAAAAAAGGTTTAATCATTAATGAGATACAACGAGTGATTCAATGGACATGGTTTTCTGAATAAATAAATTAGTGCATTACGTATTTGAATTGATTGATTATTTTTTGCTAAAGAATTTATTGATTTATCTATAGAGAATCGCTAGAGGTATATAGTAGGTTATCCATTTTCTTACGTCATATTACTGTTTTTTCCCCATATATTACATTAACTTTAAGTAACGGATTGCACTTTTTCATGACTTTTTACTAGTATGCTTGCATATTTTTATATATACTCTATTTTCGTTTCTCAATATAAGAATTATTTGACTAATTTAAGTAAATTAATAAAATTAATTAAGTTAGATATTTTTAATAAATAGGTATTATCTTCCTTAAAATATTCTTATTATTCATGTTTATTAGTTAAAATTATTATTTAATGAAACATTTAATATGTGCAACTACTACAAAGATTATCTTTAAAAAATAGATAAATATAAAAAATAAAATAAATTGAAGTCTTATATTTAATACTAAATTAAATCTCATATTATTTTTTACATTAAGGATCATAGGTAATATTAAGGATAAGTTGGGTGCTGAAATTTATTAAAAGCCAATCTACTCATAATTTGTCAACACTACTGTATTACTCTCGATACGGGGTGTGGCGGTGCTAAGACCAACCCAAGTGACCTTTTGAAGCAAAAATCAATGCACCAGTTATGAGCGCTGATAAGGAGTTTGGTTTTGATTTTAAATACAGGATTTTTTATGCATTTATTTCTAATATTTATCACTTTTTTTCTCATTTAATCCACTTAACTTATAATTAATATATAATTTAAGATTATTTAGAAGTATTTTTTTGAGAGATCAGTTGATTTTTATTACATAATTAAGTAATTTATTTGACCCTTTTCACATCCTTAAATTAATTATGTAGATCTTATATTAAGAATTAGAAGAATATTAAATTGACTTGACACGAGATTAAGACTCAAGAGATATAGAGAACAGAGAGATTGACAGAGTGAGTATAGAAGATTTCAGATTATTTTTTGATAGGCATAGATATGCTCTTATTAGAGATAATCATGTTCAAACACTTTTAGCTACTAAATGTGGGTATCTTTTAGTAGAAATTTGAATTTTGATTCATCACGTTATGAGAGAGACTAACTTCTTCTGTAAGATCCAACTCCTGTTGATAAAAGAACTTTAGATTAGAGCATGCACTTGTCCCCCTGACCTCTTATTTAATTGAAGTGGAAATTATACTATCTTCCATTGTAATGGATGAATCCGTAGCAGAGTTCGGTCCAAAATTATATGATAACATTGGGATCCAATTAAATCAATCTGGAACTCTGAATAGTACTACAATTAAATACAAAATTTATTATATTATTGATAATATATTAACAATTGGCAAAAGTACATCCGTAAGTTTATACTTTATATAAGATTTTAGTTTAGTCCTTATTTTTCATTCCTCTCAGTCTCTAATCCTAACACTGTTTTTTTTTTCAATTGTAACCATTAATATTAAAGAATCATTTTTTAACAGTTATTATTTTTTAAAAAAATTAAATTTAAAAAATCGTTTTCATATTCTAAGCTTGTTGTAACTTGGATTTTCCGATTTCCTTTTACTACTGAAAGCTTTCTAAATTTAACTAGTTTAATTGCAATAATGAAATGGTAACTAATGTTAATTATCCACACATATATATTAAGCGTTAATATGAGATTCAAAGATGTAGTATTTGTAATATTATGTCTGTTAAAATAGAAATATATCAGAAATTAAAAATTGAAGTTTATACTTTATACTCTATAATGATCAAATTGTCATTAATTCCTCATGCATTGAAGACTTCAGTTAATAATTACATGTGGACATTAATAATTATAGATTTTTTGTCTTTTTTTTGCCAGCTTTTTGGTCAACAATTAGATGTTATGCTTATATCAGCCAATTTTTTGACCGGGTACTTGTATAAGCCAATAAAAGGTTTATGAGTTTGCGGATTGTGTATTTTATAACGTGAGAGACCCGCAACTTCATTCGGAGCCTTCCTGCGAAGCCTCGGAGTTCAAACGATGTTCTTGTGCATAAAACACTATTCCTTGTGCATAAAGAGGGGGGGGGGGATCTGCAACGAATTCGTCCTTTCGACGTGATCACTTGCCTCCAGGGGGCCTCCCCTATATATGTGTGTGTGTGTGTGTGTGTAAGCTTTCACTTCTTCACCTCACTGCATTTCAATGTCTCTCTGTTATCTCTCATAATCTTTTTCCATATATATCGTTATAGAGCCCTCTTGTCTCACCTCGAATCCAGTTTGCTTCCCCCCACCACCACCACCATCAACAAGAGCAGCTCTAAGTCGTCGTCATCTTCCCTCCGTCTACACTGTTTTACTGTTAGTCAAACCAACCTCGCCAATCTCGGGAATGAGGAAAATGTGGAGACCCCGCAGAATCTTGGTGGTGTCCATGGCGTGAACTCTGTTCTAGAAACCAACGTTGACCATGGAGTCAAAGGCGGTGGTCATGACGATCCCAGTGATTAAGGTCGTCTTTTAGGAACGAGACCACGCCATGGACACTACCAAGATTTTGCAGGGTCTCTACATTTTTCTCCTTCACAAGATCGGTGAGGTTGGTTTGGCTAACACCGAAGGAAATGATCTGTGTTTAAATTGATAAAAGTGTAGGAGGAAGAAGGTGAGAACTTGGGCTTGTTGTTCCTGATGGTGGTGGTGGAGGGGGGAAGCAAATTAAAGTGGATTTGAAGTGAGACAAGAGGGCTATATAACTCTATATATACCAAATTATTTCACGGCAAGCGGCGGCGAGGGAGAGGCCGTTGACCACCCGTCTGCGATTACTGTTCACCGGAGAGGAAGGTACGAAGGAAGAAATGAGGACGATGGTTGTGGCTGACGGAAGATTTGGAGAAGAAGAAAGGAGAGAATGCTCCACGGAAGCCAATATTTCCGGTGAAAGGTAAAACTTTTGTTTTTTGCCACCAAAAGGTTAAACTAAGCACCGCTTAAAATGAAACAACCATAAATTTCGTAAATGTACCAAACATGGCATTTCCTTCTTAGTACAGATATGAAGACAAGATGCCTCAGTAATAAAATCCCCACTCTTCTTCCCACCTTTTGATGTCTCCCAAAAAACTTCAAACTTAACTCATCTCACCATTCTGCAAACCAATATCTCTTCAGAATTTCACATGTAAAATCTGTTTCAGAAAAGACTGAAAAAGAAAAAAAGAAGTCAATCAGCAGTAGAACTCAGCACCACAAAGCAGAAAAACCGAAACAGGCGCATAAGCAATTGGTATATGAGTGTTTTAGTTTGTCAAAGTCATGCAACACATGCAGCTGCTGAAGAGCGAAGGCCTTGGCTTGCGTTTTTCTTTTCCTTTAGGCGAAGCATACTCCATTTCTTTCACCTCCTTCACTGTTCCATCTTGTTTTTCTTGTTTCTTTGGCATGACTAGAAGATGAGCTTCTTCTTCTTCTTTCAACAGACCTAAGAATGGGGCATGGAATTTCTCAGAGTAACTTCTTTCCATAGTCACTATTTTCTCCTCCACTGGCATTTCTTCATGCAGAGATATGCTTCGTTCATATTCAGCGCAAGGCTCAAGATTTAGATTGCTCTGGTTTGACGAGCTTTCGGTTGCAGTCTTGCCCTGATGAAGCAACGGAATGTGATCCGATTCTTCTTTTGTCGCTTCTATTCGGAGATTGAGATTGAAACTTGGAGATTTTTGCATCAGACAAGAGATATTTGGATTCTCAGGGTTTGATTCCGTGCTATACCTTGTTGTACTTTCCATAACTTCATAACCTCCATTTGCAACTACAGGATTGTTAAGAAGCGGTGTACCGGACAGATTGGCCTTTGAAGTTGTTATTTCTGCTTCTTTTGGTGATGTTGCTTCTGCTTGTTGGGAATAGTCCTTCTCTTCTTTCTCGAATGCTTCATTATCGACGATGTCCAGAGCTGGCATGGTCAAATTTGAAGATCAGTGTTGCCCTCTTGGTGATCTGAAGCTTGCAGGTTGGCAAAAGTAAAGATCTTGGTTTGGCTGACATTGTCGTCTTGATGTCTAGGTATAGGTAACATAGAACAAGAATTCTGCAGGGTCTGAGATTCTTTTTGACCTGAAGTTAAAAGATGAGAGTCAAATTGTTCTGACATGTCGTTCCCATCTGAGTCTTTTAACGGCTTAGCCTCTGGCCTTTTCTCTATTTCGTCAAGAACTTTCTCCTCATAATTCTTTTCCTGTTCAGGTCTGCAATTTACAACTGCTGGGCCTGGGATAAGTCCATCTCCTTCAGCTTCAGGAACCATAAAACCTTGTTGAACTAGAGTAGTGCTGATTTCATTTGAATTTGTGTTGTTATTAATGCACGCATCAAATCGGTGTCCATTCTCAGTAAATTTTTCCTCAACTTGATCTGTTTCGCCTATCCCATGAACAACCCCAGCAAGAACTACATTCTCTTCTCCATTAGACCTTCTATTGATGATGTCAGCCTGAAAATCTTGTGAATTCTCCATTTCTGATCCTCTTAGGTTCGATTTTCTGTCTTCTTGAAGCTCCTTACACATTTTCTCACTGTCAAACAGTGGTCCCTTATACATATCATTGGATTCTGGTGGTGAATCCACAGAATGATCGGTAATACAATTGGCCTCGGCCAATAGACTGCAATCGCTCTTTTCATTGATGCTAGAAAAATTATCTGTTATCTCCGAAGCACGTCTCTCTCTACTTCCTGATTCATCTCTTTCTCCGCCTTCAGAGCTGACTCCACATAACACGTTTTCTTGGCTGTCCTTTTCTTTATCTGAACTGATATCATCATCCATTAAAGGGAGGGTATCAGTATCAGAAAGATCACTTCTTTTCAGTGATTCACTGCCTTGAAGTGATGGTTCTTCAAGAACTTCACCAAACTCAACATGCAAAGAATGTATCTGTGATGATTCTTGAAGTTCTACATCATTTGATGTTGAAACGACAGTGTTCTCTTCCTCTGCAGGAATTATAAGCAACGTAGTTCAAGGTCATAAGGTATTCATGTTTACAAGGGATAATTTAGATTCTTACTTTCAGCAATTGGATGTAACATGTTATGTAGTCATATATGATGGGGTAAGGCTATGAGCGGCCTAACCTTGTTTTATTGAAGACTCTTCATCAAGGTGGTGATCATATGCAACAGGCTGATCCTTACATAGATCTATTTGCCCGTCATATTCTTCAGTACTTTTCAACGAAAACTCTGACAGGGTTTTACAGTTCTCAGCTCCTTTATCTGCCATTCCAGCATTTGGATACATTTCAAGTTGAATGATTTCAGTTATTTGATTCCCTGCAGATTAGAATACCAAATATTCATTAAACTAAGATACTTTATATTTGTTAGTTTCTTGAAATATGGCATATAAAAAAGAAACTGCTGACCTGAATCGGAAAAGGAATCTTTGACATTAGCTTGATCATCAGAAGACAAGTTGGTAGCTTTTCCTGAACCATCCGAGTCTCTGGAAATAGGATCCATTGCATTTTCACGTGGTTCATCATTATAATGAGTTTCTTTTGTGTTTCGTGTTGAACTTCAATTGTTCTGTCATCTAAATCAATCCTTGCAGCTTTTTCCTGGACAATTTCGCCTTCGGTGGATGGATGATTTTGATGATCTCCATTTTTATCGTCTTCACAGGCATTTCCTTCCTCTATGGCATTTTCAAGCTCATTTGGCACATCATTAGAAACCAGTGACCTATCATCATTCAGAACATCTTCAACTTCAACTGCAGGAGGCATTTGACTTTCTACGATTACAACATCTCCATGAGTATCACTTTTTGGTGAATCATTCTCAAGCATGATCGCCGATTCAACAGTAGTCAATCCTCTAGCTTTCTCTTCAACATTTTCATTATCAGCCGTTGGGATCATTTGATTTGGCCCTTTTACATCATCTGCATGACTGTCTTCTTCAAGTGTATCTTTTCCAGGTTCAACTATTGCATCATCAGAAGCCATTGCAGTTTCTTCTATTTGACATCTGGCTTCCGATGTTGGGGCTGTCTGATTCTCTCCCTTCTTACCATCTCCAAGAATATCGCCTTTCAATGTCTCATTTCCAGGTTCATTCCTATCATTTGAAGCCAATCCATCAGCTTTTGTTTCATCATCACTGCCTTTAGCAGCAGAGATTTTCTGACTTTCTCCTTCCTTGCTCTCTGCTCTCACTTCCTCATTAAAAGTTTTTTTCTCAGCTTCGCTTGAATTAGCTTCCTCTGCATAAGTGAAAACAAGAATGAAAATAATCAAATGAAAAAAAAGTATAGAACTCTACCTCACCATATTCAATTCAATACTTCCAATAACAAAGTAAATACCATTGAGAGCAGATGTCGTGTTGTTATTACCCATTTCATTGCCCATGCTCAACTTGCCAAATCCTACAATATAAGCAAAACAGGGAGAATTCAGACTAATACACTATTCTTCAAACAAATGGAATGCTTCTAATAAAGAAGAATGCATCAAAGGAAAGAACTCCCAGTTTGATATCTAAAAGGCCAACAATTGTACATCATAGACCATACCATGGTCGTCATGATGATATTCACATGCCCCTCAGCTTTCAACATCTGAGGACAGCTTGAGTTTGGGATTGCCAGAGTGTTTATACTTGATCAGTAACAGATACTAACACCGTATTGCTTACAACAAAAGCCTTATTTTGAGTCATATGTCTGCCTAATAATAGGTAGGTACCATCAAGTATATACTTGAACATATCTGGCACTACTAATTTGTGCTTGCATTGGAACTTATGATAAGGTTCTTGCGGGTCCATCCTTAATAAGTAGCCTGGTTTGCTCTTACTAATGATTTGCTCTATGGTTTTCTTAAACCGTCCTTGTATAAAAGGCATGTAACCGAGGAAGCTATAATAATCCTTCTCGCTGACATTACGACAAACATTTGGCAGACACAAAAGAGAGAAAGTTGAGGATAGTTACCTGCAAGTTATTAAATTATTATTCTAAGAATCTGATTATACGTATTCAATCTAAAAAAGACGTCCATGTGCTTTTCTTTTGCGAGAGAACCAAAAGCTATGGGTTGCCTGAAAGTGACTACAGAAGACACAGGACCCATCCAGCCGCGTTAAAAAATGGAACTCAACCACTTTCCATTAACAATTGGCTACATTAAGATTTACACACACAAATTTCTGAATTAGATCCCACCAAGACAATCACCGAAACATAAATACACCGAAACTGTGGGTCAGTTGATTTGCATTTGTAGGCTTTAGGTGCTTATAGCCTCATGTACTTTAGAGCTGGGAGGCTACGAAAAAGGGCACACTTTGGTGCCGGGCTCATTATGGATGGATGAGTGAGCATTGCATTTTCTCTTTTGTGGCTCCAAGCTTTTTCAAAATGACAAGTGGTAAGTTGTTGGGAAAATGAAACTTATTTACTCATGATTTGTACGAATAATAATCAAATATCTTAAAAGTTAAAATTGCTTTTCTAGATAACATAAATAAAATTAAATTGATCCTGACGTCCTTTAAATTTACTGCTCATTGCTTATTAGAAAATATTACCAAGACCCCTTCCCTCCCTTGAGCCAAACAATGTGTGTAGGTAATTTCTTTCTATTTATTTTTTAAAAAATTAATTTATTCTTTCACAATACTGCGTTTAAATATTGAGAGAACTAATCAAACCTCTCTCGGTTTTGTCTAGGAAAAGCCTCCTCTCAACATATTCCAAAAGAAAATTCAAATTTCCCTCTAAAATATTCAAGAACCAAAAAACAAAATGAGATGATTAAATGAATAATTGTGTGACAATACTGTATATAATAGCTATATATTACATTTCTTGCAAGTAACAAATATTGTGACAATAAATTATGTATGTATGTATGTTGTTATATAAACATAAAAAATATATGCATATGACAAAATTAATATTGTTACGTAAGTATTTTAGTGACAAATAGGATGAGTAACAAAGGAAGCCTTTAATTATCCAAAAAAAAGAGGAAGCCTTTTATAAAAAGAGTTTCTCTTGTGTATGTCTTGTACTGCAAGCGAGATCTTATAAATAGTATGGGAAGTAGTACAATTTTTCATACTTTTCTTTTAGATTTTCTTTTCCATGAGAAAGTTTTCTTGCCAATACTACCATGTCTATATTTTCTGTTCAATTGTATCTTGAGTGTTCTAGCAACTGTTTTTGCAGGAGAAACTGCAAGGGAATGTCATGAAGAGAGAAAATCCGATAAAATTTTTGAGAGAAATTTCTGGTATAAAAACCACTCTTTTCCTATAATAATTGTAAATGCCTAGATGTTACCAAGAGTTCATTCAAACAATTTCATAATTCAACCGGTTGAAGGTGGATGAACCCTCACACAAGACATAAATTTTCCGCGTGGATTGAAAGCCCAACTTTTGAAATGGGATTATTGTCATTTTCTTTTTATTATTCATAGACTTTACAGCTTTTTTCATGGTCTTATAACTCAATTCAGATTGACTGGTAAGATTGATAAATGGGTGAACCAATCTCGTGGCTACTCTAGTCAAAATTTTTGAATGGTCAGCTTTTATATTTTTCCTTGCTCTTTTTTTGGAGCTGAAAATGACATTGTTTTAAGTTGAAAAAATAACAACCCATTAAATTTGTGGTTTGTGTTTTAGTAGCTCTGCTTGTTGAATTATGTGATGTTATACTTGAATGGTCTGTTTACCCGCAAATAATGCCTTCTTTCATTTAAATATGACTCCTTTCATACTATAAAGAAAAAATTTTATATATTTAAATTAAATCACATTATTTTAATCATATTTGGATCAATATGACTCATTTGATTTTTAATACTCCTCTAGTTCTTAATATAGGACCTAATTGTTAGTTGATTTTGGTTCCAAATATAAGATCTATTTATTATATTTATCAATTTTTCCTAAATTACCTTTATGGATACTTCCTCAACCATAATCAAGTAGAAAAGAGATAGGAGATATTAAGGAAGATGATTATGGTGTTTTAGGAAAAACATAACATTTCTTATAATTAACTAACTTACCTAACTTTCTTAATGTAATCAAATTAGTTAAATAGGCCTTATATTAATGACTGGAAGAGTATTTTATTTTTTATCTTGTTTTCTTTTTGCCTTCCTTTGCATCCCAAAAAGCAAAAAAGTTGGGCGGAGGGGGAAAAAGGAAGCCATTAAAAAGCAAAACAAAACTTGAAATGATTGTAGCAGATTGAATCCACATGGAGGATTAAAGGTTCTAGAATTTAGTATTAAAGCCAAGCATCATTGTTATGGGATTATTTATGGCGGTGGCATAATACAATACTAATACGTTTAGTCTCTGGTTTATCAATCCGTATGTCTTGTCCATTCGTTGTATAACATTATGTATCAACATGAAACGTACATGAATGTAGGATGGTATTCGATGGCTTTTTTTCCACTAAAGGAAAACAAATTACTTTTTTTTTTTTTTTACACACCAGGGCATCCTCCGTGGATGATTGTGACTAATCCCCTTGTCGCGGGGCTTCCATTTAAGGGTCCGGTTGCTCACAAGATGCTTTTCATGTCAAAGAGTAGGATAGAAACCCCCACCACTTGGTCAAGAGGCCAAGTGAGGTAACTACTGGGTGGTTCCCATGTGGTTTTACAATTATATTTTTCACTCGAAAAAATAATTATATTTTTTATATTAAGCATATGTATCCCCTTAATAAAAACAATTTTGTATGAGATGTTATTGGGTCCTAAATATAAATCCCTTTTCTAATAAAAATTTAAATCTTAATTTATGATATTGTGAGAAATTAATCATTTTCGATAGGCCTCCGTGATAAAACAACTACACTTTAAATGCCCAAAGAAAAGCTAGGGAACCAGCAAAACTTGGGCTTAACTCTTACCCTTTCAGCCAAACTTGGGCTTAACCCAAGTACAGGTAACGGCCGAAAAAGACGGGAAACAACGGACATGCGGTCGAATTTAGATCTCATAGTATTGATGGTCTTATAGCCTAAGAAGTTTTTCTATAATTGGGTTTGATTCTATTTGTTATCTTATGTTATTAATTTTGCCCTTTTAATTGGAAAAAAAGATTTCATACTGAAAATAAATTGGGCCTGACATTAATATGCTAAAAACTTATTTTCAATCCTTGAAGATCTTAGAGTATATATAAAGTATGAAGAAATTATCATTATAATTAGGAAATTCAATTTTATTATTGAATATTCTATAAAATATATGATTATTTATATTTTCGATTAATATTCTTGTATTAGCCAAAATTACATTCCTTTTGTCTTGAGTTACAAGACACATTTTAAAAACTTTTCATTTTATATACTATTTTGCAAAATTTATTAAGCACTTGATATTCCTTTTTTCTTCCTAATAATCCTCTTAATGTGGATCTAGTTGGGTGATTATAGTGAAAATAGGGACTGAAAGAGATGAATAAGACTAAGTTAGAATTGCGTTATTGCAACAAAGAAGTAGAATGCTATATGAATGAAGAGTTCATATTGTTGTTTAGTGATATGATGGTTGTCATGGGGGGGCTTACACGTTGGAACTAGAAGAGGGATAAGAGAATCATATATATACTCATCCATTAAGTCCTTAACTTTCAAATCTTACATGTGATGGTTGAGCTTCACTGCTATGAGCTTTTATTTCTATTGAATTTAGTCACTCTTTTGAGTTTAATTTTACAAGAGTATGAGTTTAGGTAATAATCCTTGGTTAATTATGTGGATGGGTTTGAGACAGTAAAATTGATTTAACGGTCTAACAAGCAGGGCTGTTTGCACAATTTTGATTTTAAGGCGAGGGCGGCACCTGATTATTCTGAGTTTTGATTCTTTAATGATTTTTTTTTTTGAGATTGAAATGAAAAACCATAAAGTTCTTTTTTTGTTTTTTCCCAAGGGGCTGGTCCATTGTAACATCGCAAGTTAAGATTTAAATCTCTATTAGAAAAAAAAATGATACTAACATCTCTCTAAGCCCTTAGGTCTTAAGTGGGCGCATATGTAGGCTCAGGTCTCACGCCTATCCGGCTATAGTTATTCACAGCAGCAACAAAAATATCTTATTAAATATCTACATATCCCTTTTGCCCTCTTCATGGGAAGATTTTCTGGGGCAATGAACAAAAATTTCCCTGCAGAATGTCGCATAAATTTTTCCTCATGCCATTGACCAGCTGTCACTTATTGATTGAAATATACATAGTGTCGTATTTTCCGGGAGCAATTAGAAAGTTGAGCCATTGTATTCCAAGTCTACATTTTATTTTGATAATGTTTGTTGAATACTACAGTTTTAGGAATCGCAATCGTACTTCTTATCCATTAATTTTATTTTACTTTTTTTGGCCGGTGACCTTATCCGTTAATTCGTTGAAAGGACATAGTTATTCCTTGTAAATTTTCAATTCGAATGATAAGGTCGACTTTAATCCTACTTTTTTGGACCTCCATGTGATGCAGCGGTAAACGTTATTAAAATTTTGGGAAAACCATATTAGAGGTACCTATACTTTCTCTCAATTTTTAATTTGGTACCTATGTGTTTTTTTCCCCCTTTAATTAAACATTTAATTTTATCTTTTTAGCAACATTAGCTCTTATAACTTTGTTCTATTGATATTTTTAGTCTTTACATAAGGATTAATGATGTTAATAGAGTAAAATTAAAGATTTAGTTAAGAACAAAAAACACATAGGTACCAAATTGAAAATTGAGAGAAAGTATAAGTACCTCCAATATGGTTTTTCCTAAAAT